GGGCACAGCCAGTGCCACAGAGGAATAAAAAACAAGAGACAGACGGCCATAACCAGTAGGTGTTTCGGTTGGAACTTTTTCATCCATGAAGTAAGTGAATCTGTCTCTACGTTGGCACAGAAAGCAAGTAAATCCCTTCTCTGCTCTGTAATCCCCTTCGTTTGTGGAAGGAAGATCATGAATTTGCAGGAAGTAGTTCAATAAACTGATGAAGAGAAGACAAATGTTCAGAGTTCAATTTGTTTTAAATAGCGGCAGATTTCCTTCATGCTTTTTATTTTTAGGTGGAAAAGAAACAGATGCTTGTATGGTATGCTAATTCAGCTGTAAGTAACTCTGGCAAGGCATGTAACTTCCCTGGGAATTGCATTTCTGTTCTCATTAATGAAACTATTTAACTTTCAGAATATGTTATGGCAAAATAAAAACACAGGCCATGAGCATATGAAAATGTAGAGTAACATCTACAATCTAGAAACTGCTTGACAAAATGCCAAAGAAAATGAAAAACCCAAGCTGAATGCATTACGAGCCTCCAAAAGTATTTCATCTATAGTTAGAAAAACAAAACCGAGTCTCCTAATCTAAAGACGGAGCATGGGAAGCTTGCAGAAAAAAAGAAAAAAGGATGAAGCGTTGTTTTGCTATGTCACCAGGATTTGGTGACAAATCCTATGCCAAGATTTCAATTACCTGGCAAGATATTGCTGTTCTCCCTTAAAATAAAATAAAACACCCTGGTGCTGGTAGACCCACGCTGGAGCTGTGTGAGCATTTCGCTGTGCGGGGAGCTGGACCGGCACATCGTCCCTGCCGCGAGGGCTACTAGGAGCTGAAGATGGCAGGAAACCACTGCTGCCCAAACTGATAAGTAAACAGGAGTTAACATGCAAGCTTTTTACAAGCTATTTCATTTCTATCGGTCCTGAGGACTTCTGGAACCAATATGTGGGCTTCCTCAGGCTCTCGAGAGGAAGCAACGTAATATCCAGCAACAGATTTCAAAGTAAAATAGCATTTTAGAAAAGCCACTTACATCTGGTATTCAAGTAGTTTGGTTTTTCAAAATGCGGGCTATTAAAATATTGATACATAAACAGGAAAGTTTGCTTTCCTGCTTCCTCCAGTTTGTACACACAGGGGAAAAAAAGCAAATCCCTTCTGACCACAAAGATACAGATGCTGCATTGCCTCACGAAACCACCAAAGGAATGAGGGCAGAAGGTCTCGTCGATTTGAGTGTCAAACTAAGTGGTTATTAGTAAAATGCAGGAAAAACCTTAAGCAAAAGGGCTGAAACACCACCGTAAATTAAAGATCAGTCACAAACCCACTACTGCTGTATCACTTAGATGCCAAATCCTGCCTGGGATACAGACACCAGTAACCCTACCTTCCATTAATCCTGACATTGCCCATTAAACCACCTCTAAAATTTTCTTTCCTTCTTCTGGTGTTCACAGTTTTCAGCACCTGTATCACACATTCTCATTTAACAAGGTAGTTATTTGTCTTGAGATTAATTTCATAATCAAGCTTTGCCAGCTCGAAAGCATCTGCTAGCTTTGGAGTGTTGTGCAATATTTTTGATGGGTTTCAGGTTCACTGCAGTATCACACGTGCCACACAAGATGGATTATTTCAGCAGCCTCTGCCTATGCTGCCAAAGTCCAAATTTTCCTAGGGAAGTTTTATAAATTTTACATGTTCATATCCAAATTGTCTGCAACTGTTTCTTTCTAGTATTGCTGTCTCCTCGAAGCTGTTTGCATTTGGAAGGATAGTTATATTGCCTTCGCATTTACCACATGACTCCAATCTTACTTCCCACTTTTAACACCTCAGCAAACTGCTGTGTCTCTCTATGGACACAAGAAATATAGTTTATCTCTTTTATAGACTGTAAAAATAAGTGTATTTTAGGATTAGAAGAACTCCTCCAAGATTTCTGTTCCTCATTGACTGCAGTATGTTTTTCCATGGAGAAGAATTTAATCAGGGAAACTGTTCATCCTTACTGATGCCCAGATTTTACTACCCTCTTTCAATTTCCTATTGCACTCAGCAAAGCCAAATTAGTTCTAGTAATGTCTTTGGCCAGATGTTCACAGCTTAAAGAAAAACAGCATGCAGGCTGCTGCAAAATCTTAACAGTTTTAGAAATAGCTGACAGCCTAAACTCATACTTCAAGCCCAGCTCTGTTCCTAACCACAGAGGCATTCTTCATCCTTCAGATCCTGCCTTAACATGCCACAGAAAAACAGAAGAAAAAAAAAAATTCTGCATCTTTGATGTCACCTTCAAATAATTTATTCAAAGGAAGAACTTCATCTCTTACTTCAGCAAAATTCTTAGGGATTGTTTTCATGCTATATCCAGATTTTTAAAGGGTTATTTGTACCGTCACATTGACTGCTTTAGTCATCAAATACATTTCAACTCCAACAAATTATTACCTCTGTGATTTTAAAAAGCCTTTTATGAATCTGAATGATTGTAAGGCATTTCAGTACAAAAAGGAAAGCTCAAACACTGAACCTGAATGGATATATAAAAATGTCACATGAAAGTTCAGTCTGAAAATCAACTTCTCAGCTGACCGCGTTTCCATTTTAACTTTTTGTGAACACTTAAAGTTTTGTGTTTCTAATTCTCCAAGTGCAAAGCATCATCTGTCCTGCAAACAGAGGTGCCTCAGGCCTCACCTTGGATTGGGATTTCCCAGTGCCATGTCACTAGACCTAGCTGGAAAACTGGTCTCTCATCCCAGAAAAAAACAAGCCATACAAGAAGTTTTCCCCAAGACTTCTAAAAATTATTCTGAGATGCAACAGGTAAGGGCCAGGGCGGAACAACACACAAAGTACTGGGTTGTACATCTGATAGGACACTTACCAAGGATATGTCAGACCCAAGTTTATATCCATATTTTATCTAATTTAGAGCAGAGACGTGAAATTTGATCTCCTGCTACCCAGACAGACGTGCTAAGCTGACATTACACAAGGAAGACAGCTGGGGCTCGCTCATCTCCTTCTGCAAGAGCTCAGCCTCCAGGCACTGAGACACTTCCCAAAGTTTCGTTAAAACCAACCCTTTTTCTCCTAGACAACTGAATATTAACGGATCAATTCCTCCCCTCTCCACCCCCACAAAGAAAAATGTAGCTGATTTGGCTCTAGATAGCTCTCAGACAGAAAAAGTTCCTGCCTTAAAGAATTTGCAAATATATATAAAAATAAATTAGGTTGCAATGCTGATGTGCCGTTTGCAAACAGGGTCACAACTACGTTCAAAAATTAAACTGATGGAAGAAGACGATGACTATCATTTAATTACACAGCAGTGATTTTTAAAAAAGAAGAGTCTCTGCCATCTTGCAAGTCATAACTAGAATCGCCAGTTCCAGTCCTGTTTAGCAGTGGTTTCCACTACAGGCAACTCATCTGGCTGCATTCTCTTTTTTCCAAGCTGCTTTCAGTCTTCCAGGTTCTCCCTTCCCACAAGCAGCTTACCAGGGAAATTTTGGAGCCATTTCTTTAGGCTCAAAAAATAACATAAAACTCTATGTCTGCTCTTGTCTTAAGTCCTGAAAACAATCTGTCACATCAGTTCAATGTCATCTCTCATTGACTTACCAGCTTCTTCCTTCTCTGAAGCTCACCCTCCTATCGTCTTGAGTCCCTTCCTTCTCACCAGCATTTTCTGGTCTACTTTCCCCACCATACTGTGCTTCCAATCTTAAATCACTTTTCCAGCTGCCCCTCGCTCCCTGCCATATCCTACTCAGCCTAATGCTGCCAGTTCTCATCCTGCGGATCTTTCCCTTTGCTTTGTTACTGCAGATCTGCCTTTGCTTATTTTAATATAAAAATGAGAAAATAAATGATTGGTAAATGTGTAAATAGGTTACCTCAGGAAAACAGAGGGAAAAAACCAACATGGCAAAAAAACATTCTTGGTATTGTTAAGGTTTTCTGCCATGTTGCTGTGAAGAAGCTTTTAAATAAGAAAAAAGAAAGAACTTTTAAATGACAAAAGTGGCAAGGGAGCAGCAGGAGCGCTTCATATCTTGGGTCACCCAAGAGTTCTGCATTAGACGTCTGATTTAGTCATGGACTCTGGCACAAACACTTTTGACCTCACTGGGGAATAGGTCTGAACTAAAACAACACTGCAAGATCTACACATTTTTGAGTCATGTGTTTCAAATGAAACGTTCTTGCCCGTTAAATTTGGAGGTCATTAACTAACAGTCCAAACAAGGGAAACCAAAATGAGCAGCACCCCAAGCAATCACATGGATCTAATTGCATCTACATTGCACAGTAGTATTTCGACACAATATTCCACTTGCGCCACGCTGTCGACGTGTGCAGAACCGCATGACAGCTTTTCTGCTGACAGCCTTATGTTTGACATGGAGGAAGACTATGGATGGGTAGTTGCACTCCCGTTTGTCCAGAAAACCACTTGCAGTGTAAGAGCATTTTTCCAAGCTGGCTTTAATTTGCATGTTCAAGATGCTTCCCAAGATATCTTCCCATTTTAATACCTACATCAGTGTGGTGCAGCCCTTCACAGGCACAAATGTATTTTCTAAAAGCAACCTGTGACTTCAGTATAGGCACACAAGAAAGATTAATATGTCCCTCTACCAACCACAAAGGAACAACCCCTATTTATTCTCAGAGGGAGAGAGTTATATTAGCCAATGTGTGTGTAAACCAGCCAGTAAACGATGTTGGTTTTTATTTTGAGGATGCATAAAAAAGTGCGACGTACTTGCTTGCACTACACTGAGAAGTGATAAAATTAACCACTACCAACCACAAACTTGGCTTTTAAAAATGTGTATCCACCTAGCTAGAGGATTCTCTATAACTCAGACCACTAAACTACTAGCCTTTCCTTCAAACCTGAAAGTTAGCAATAGCTTTTGGGAAAGCAGGATACTAAATTAAGAGGAATAAAAATGTGTCTTGCTTTAACGACTCACCTGAGAATCTATTTTAATTAGTGCAATGTCAGCTTTTTCGTCAACATCTTTAATTTTAGCTTCATATGTTTCACCGTTCTTCAGTTCCACCTTCACCCGGTTTTTGTTGGTGACAACATGGGCATTTGTCACTATCAGTCCGTCTTCTGAGACGATGAACCCTGAACCACTGGCAACAGGAATCTCCCTCTTCGAATAAGGAAGTCTAAAAGATATGGGAAATCAACATTTATCGCTGCAATAAGTTGAAAGATCACAAATCATTCCAAATAATACACAGCCAAAAAGAGTTTGGTGGTTTTTAATGCTTTAGGATATCTGCTGTTACCTACTATCATTAAGAAGATAATGCACATGCATTAGTTTAACTTTTTTTTTCCCCCAGGACTCTTAAATTATCTTTAATTCTTAAGCATGACAAATATTTATCATCTCAAAAACCTCTTTGCTATTACATAGCATCAATCAACATTTCTGGCACACTGGCAGCTGTTTTCAAGAATACAAAAATCAAAACTGGGCATCTTGTTTACTTGCGAAATAATTCAATGTGAACCACAGCAGGAGCTATCTTCTCCACCACATCTGCAATAAAGTTGTATTTGTGCCGCAGGCTATTAGGATGTTCTTGGCCTGAAATAGAAACAGAAAACATGTCATGAGTTCTTCAAGTGATAGGAGAAGGGTCATTGCAAAACACCTGAATTAAAAAAGGCTCCAAGTGGATATCTTATCCCTCCTTAAAAGTCATCTGCAGCATAACCCTTGCCCCCAGATTCCCCTTCTGCCTCTTTGCACAGAAGAGGCAGCATACTTTATCATTAGGACAAACGGATCCATGAAACCTTCTTGTTTCAAGTGCACGTAATTGGGCCATGGGGCAGCAGATCCGCTGCTCCAAGTGTGGCTGTAGCTGCAGACCCTGGGTCAGCACGCCCCACTGCTGGTGGCTCCCGGGGCTGAGGCATTGGAGGAGCGCAGGGTTTAGTCCATGTCGGCACTGACCCGCTCTTCCTTTGTGAGAGGGTTTTTGTACTCAGATGCCTCCATTTCTGCTCTCACCTCTTTTCTGGATGGTCTATTTAGCTTGTATGGTCTTCTCAGATTAAACAAACGGGCTCTGTTCCTCTGCCAAAATACGCCTTCTTAGTGGTTTTTGAAGTCTCATGCTGCTGCATTTGTAAAATGCCGAGGACAACAAGGTCCTAACCCCTCTGTAAGCCTACAGCAGCTGCTGTGAAAGTTTAATTCGGGTACGAGGTTTGCGCTGCCTCTCCCACCAGTGTCCCCACACAGCTTGAGCTACCAGCCTCTGCCTGGCACCTAAACGTGGATGCACATTACATAGGCTCTACACAACCATACTCAAGGCATCCTTTCCACTGCAACCACCTGTGGTCCATCAGCTCCACAGAGGAGTGGATCCCAAGTACTCGGAGTTACTGAACCACCCTCAAGGCTATAAAATAGATACACACACACACACGAAAACAATGGGACCACAAAGCTCTGCATTCCTGGGCAGTGCTGTAACACAAAAGCTCATGGTCACTGAGCATTCAAGAGAGGTCAGTGGGATTTTCAAAAGCAACTGGATACCAAACTCCCATTGTGGCCAACAGAAAACCTGTCTGCACCATCAGATGTCTAAAAATCTCTGGAAAAAATTCACAGTTCCGACACAGCTTTGCCTTCTCAAGTAGTTTGGGGGCAAAACTTTTTTTTAAATTAGGAGCAGCTAAGCAATTGGAACACCCCAAGAAGTTATTTTATATTTCCCTAGAGGCAAGAAACACCCTTTGTTTTCATTAGTCTTCCCATTTTATCTGATGCATCCATCTTGCGTCATAAAGGCACAAGCCAAATCTGCAATTGACTTTCAGATGAGTATTAATGTGCTATTCTGCTCCCATCCATCCTTGCCATTTGGCTTCTAAATCCATCCAGAGATTAAAGCAGTAAGCAGCTTGTGGATGCTGTAAATGCCTGTGATGGTGTAACAGGACTATTTATTCGCAGAATTGTAGAAGGAGACACAGGACTATCCTATAAAATCATCCCAATACCGATACCTGAATGACCTTCATTATCTGAAAACAAGACTGGAAAACTATGCGAATTTTTAAGTACATACTGGAAGCAAAAACGCACGGCAGGAGATTCAGAGGAATGATTTGGGAACAAAACATTGCTGCTTTTAATATTAACCAGGTACTGGTTTGATTAAGGGGTTTCAGGTGACTTACCAATGCCAACTAGCATATACTGCCCTCAAGAACTGGGTGGATGCTCAACCCAAACACTATCTGATCACTCAAGAACATGTTTTTTCCCATTTATACCCTGCAAAGCATCTCAGGGGCTTTTAAATGCAATCAGTCATGAACAGCAGCCACAGCAGTAACCACATAATCCGCTATGCAGTTTCAGATCATGGTTCGGAGACGTTAATCTGCTTTATGAAGCAGGAATGTTGATCAGGAAACTTGTGTCCTCAACCTACTGTTTTCCTCAAAAGCATTCTGTGCTTTGTCTGACTTATGCATAAGCTGTTATCCTTGGACTTTTATGCCAGAAAGGCATAAGGGCTTGATAATTGACAAACATCAATTTACCAAAGGATTTATGTTCTTTTCATTAGAAATATCCAGTATCAAATGAACCACGTCATCGCTATAAAGCTGACAACTACAATGGGAGTGTTTTGGAAAACGAGTAGCAGAATGAGAACTGCAGTTTAGAAGTATTCACTCACATTAAATAGGAGCTTTGACAGATTATCAGATTGGATTAATGTGATGTTGGGATAAAACGCCACAGGGCACCACTGTATCCATCAATATGCTTTTTGATCGCTGCTTATAAAATGATTTAATCTCAGTCACAACGCCGAAGACATTCAAAGGTCACATCCTGCCCTTGAAAAAAAGAGCTCCCAGATGAGAACACTGCACAGGAAACACACAGCTTTTTTTATGCCTTCAATCTTTTTTGCATTTAGCTATTCAAGAAGAGAAAGGATGCCTAAGCTGTACATGGAGAGACTACTAATACTTCATCTCAGAGCTGCCTTCACTTTGAGTCGGAGGCTACGAATGCCAAGATCTCAGAAGTGACAGTATTTTGCATATAATCTGCCTCCTTGCGCAGTCCCAAACTAAGCTGCACAGTTAAAAGGTCAAAATTTCATACTCTGAAAAAGTTAGGTAATAAATACTGATTCATGGCATACTGACCTAAAAAGCGTACAACAGCTCGCCACGCCTGCCTATTGCTTATGTATTAGGAATTCTTGCATTGCGTAACACAGTTTTGCAACAGCTTTTGAACAAATGCCCACTTAAATGGAAAACATACCTTTTTAAAGCAAATAAACAAAAGTCAAAGTACCATTCAGATGAATTCAGTGATGAATGCTAACCAAAAAAATTCCTATCAACTGGTCTTTACCATCACGTGACAACATAAAATCTGAAGGCTATAGTGTAAGTATTAATATTTTGAAAATTTCTTCTATTGCTGAGAAAAAATATCATGAGGGAAAAAAATGAGACCAAAATGGACACGTGTGCATGCATACCATTTGCCCATTACTTACATACTTAATGCTCACCATAGCTAATTGCTCTTTGGGATTACTGAGCAATGCACGTGAGAGGTGCACTTATCTTTCCTATAAGCAACCACCACCATGTAAAATTTTATCTTAGATTTGAATCACCAGTAGGCACAGGCTACTTACTATGTGGGAGCCTAAATTGCCAGAAAAATGCCAATAATACAAACCTAATATGAGCAGATGCTTATTCCTCAACCACCACATGGTAGTTTCCAGCCATCACCAGCCACTGTAGAAGACAGCAGTGAAATTCAGAACTTCTCAGGAGATACCTTCCTCTCTAACACACACATTTTTCCAGCTGTACTGACAGTTCACGGTTTTAGTAGAAAAGACAGTTTTAGGAGTGGGATGGCTATCATGCAGCATCCTTCAAGTTTTCAGGTTTACAGAGCTGAAGACTCTGTAGTGGTTTAGCGGACTGTGTTTGACTATTAAGCAACAAAAAAGACGATAGCTTTGATTGATGATATGGTTTTGACTATTTAATCCCCACTGCCCGTGTATTCTGATACATACATCTAACCACAACGTCCATCCTGAGTTATAGGTACCCTACAAGCAGGTGGGTAGCTCTTTAATTCCATACTTAAATTGGTCCCCAAAATGTAGAATCCTCTGTTAAAAACTGCTTCTTTGGTATAACCAGTGTTGAATTCATGAGAATAAAGTTACCCCAATTTTCTGGCCTTTTTCTTTTTTATTTAAACCACACCCTTCTGGAGTTTTGTTCCTAGTAGGGTCTTTTCATTATTTTGTTTTGTTTTGTTTTGTGTTTAGGGTTGGGTTTTTTGGGGTTTTTATTTAACTATTGAAAGGTGGGCTTGAATAAAGCTCTCATTCCTAAATACCTTCAGGCTTTGATGTTCAGATCTTTGCAGACTGTCCCTCTTTCTATTTATATGCTGTGATTATTTGTGTTTTGTAATGTTTTTATTGAACTATTGCACAACGCCCTAGGTGCCCATGAGCATGGTTAAGAAACCTTTATTAATGACATTATGAAGATGATTGTTGCGAATTCAGTTAATGATCAAAAACTGACTTAAAAAACCATAAATAGGTTACAGCATGAAAAATTCCCACGGCAACTAATTCTTCAAGGACTTCAAAGGTGTGCTGGCTGTCAGCCCTCGAATGAAAAGGAAAATCTCTGCCAACAGACATTAATGGGCTAATATCGGTAAACAAACTGCTAGGAGGCAAGACAGAATACCAAGCCATGGAAAAAAAAAAAGCACACCCGGCTGTAAACAACTGAAATAATTTGGTTACATAAAGGTGAGCCAAAAATCGTATTAAGATCTAGGTTCTGATTAGGTCATTACTCAAAGTGGCATTGATGCTTTAATGCTTACATCTCATACATGCTGCTTTTGGTAATATCTTGAGATAAACTGAAAGGATGCTTTGGAGATAGAAATCTCATAGAAGTAACCTCTCCCCTTCAGTTGTGAGAATTGTATCTGCTGTTCTGCAAGGTCGTCTCTCACCGTAGGTCCACCTCTCATGAGAACAGTTCTTCACATAAAGCTTTAGGCACATCACAGTCAGAAATGGATCTTTTTCCCATCCGGTTTTCATGTGTCTTCCCCCTTTCAAAGAAGAGGGTTCTGCTGTCATCCATCAGGACCAGCTCAGCTCGCTGCCCATTCTCTTCTGCACCCTCTGCAGCTAGCCTGTGCTAAGGCATCCTCAATACTCCTGTGTCTCCTTTCCACTGTCTGAAGTTAGAACCAATACAACTATCTCATTCAATGGGACTTTTTGCCCTAGATACAAGGAAGGGAAAAAAAGGCACACCCCAGCAAGTCACTCCCTCCCACCCTCGCTTGATGTGACCATACCAGATATCCTCATGTCCTAAGTCAAAAAGCTCAGATTCAGTCTGGAATCGAGCCTTCAATTTCTTTAAAAACAGCAAGAAACTTTCATTCCCATTAAGGTTAAAAACCCCACAACTTTCCATGAAACAGTAATCATCCAAGACAGCTGCAACTATCAGTATTTGTAA